GGGTGTGGGCCGGACCATGTATGTAACACCGCCGTGTGTATGTGTGTTACAGTGCAGGTGTTGGCCGGACCATGTATGTAACACCGCCGTGTGTTTGTGTGTTACAGTGCAGGTGTGGGCCGGACCATGTATGTAACACCGCCGTGTGTATGTTTGTTACAGTGCAGGTGTTGGCCGGACCATGTATGTAACACCGCCGTGTGTTTGTGTGTTACAGTGCGGGTGTGGGCAGGACCATGTATGTAACACCGCCGTGTGTTTGTGTGTTACAGTGCGGGTGTGGGCCGGACCATGTATGTAACACCGCCGTGTGTTTGTGTGTTACAGTGTGGGTGTGGGCAGGACCATGTATGTAACACCGCCGTGTGTATGTGTGTTACAGTGCGGGTGTGGGCCGGACTGGCACGTACTGCGTGCTGGACAGCATGATGCGACAGATTAAACACAAGAACACCGTTAACGTGTTCGCCTTCCTCAAGCACATCAGGCAGCAGCGAAACTACCTGGTGCAGACGGAGGTAGGTCGTGACGCTACGCCGGCGCGCCCTGGTGAACGTCACTCAGTGCTTACAGCAGTAGCAGGGCTGTCCTTAGCTCGTGACATATTCTGTTTTGCCATGAGTAAAAGTGCACATCGTTAAGAAGATTAGCTTAGTTTGAGCAGAAAATTATTAGATAATTCTTAATTTTGGATTATCCATAATTGTCGTGTCTCTAAACTTCCAATATACCTAAGCTTGGATTTAGATTATTCGTTAGCTTAATTTATTTTTGAGTTTGAATTATCTGTAGGTTTGGAATATCCCTAATTTTGGATTATCTGTAAGCTTAATTTATCCTTAATCTTGGATCACCATTATGCTTAGATTTTCCATAAAGCCTAATTCATCCTTATATTTGAATCATCCTCTAGTTTGGAGAATCCCTAATTTAACATCTTTAAGCTTACGATTTATCCCTGAGCATCCTCATCAATGATTCCCCCCCATCGCACCACCCCTCCCCAACCCTAGTTCTCACAGGGATTCCTCCGCCACCCCCCCTAAAGCTCGTCCTCTCTGCTGCCGCTTGCTGACAGTGTCCGCGCGCGTGTGTTGTAGGAGCAGTACATCTTCACACACGACGCACTGCTGGAGTACATCCAGTGTGGAGAGACGGAGGTGCGCAGCAGCTACATGACTGCCTACCTGCACAGCATCATGCAGGCAGACGAGAAGACGGGCGAAACCATACTCGGCCAACAGTACCAGGTGAGAGCTGCGGCGGGGATGTGTGAGCGTGATGTATAACACGCGTACATGTATGCATATATATATATATATATATAAACCATACTCGGCCAACAGTACCAGGTGAGAGCCGCGGCGGTGATGTGTGCGTAAATGTACAGTACACGCGTACATGTATGCACATATATATATATATATATACATATATATACTCAGCCAACAGTACCAGGTGAGAGCTGCGGCGGTGATGTGTGCGTAAATGTATGCACATATAAAGTATAATATCATACTATATAAACCATACTCGGCCAACCAGAACAGGTGAGAGCTCGCGGTGGGATGTGCTGCGTATAATGTATAGTACATGTATGCCAACATATATATTATACTAGGCTGCGTGTACCCGCCTGCCTGGTAAAATCGTGCTTAGCTAATTCATACTACTAATAATTGTCAACAAATGGAACATTGGGTAAAAATCCGCAATATATAACAGTGCACCACAATATCAATATTTAGAATCCAGTGGTAATAAGATAATAGCATGGAAAACTGTTACGTATGACATTTATATTGACAGCAGAACCCAACCTTAAGAACCCCTGGGAAAAATAGTCAGGCCTAATATGGTGCAAATGAGAAAAATTTATATAACAGCAAATGCTACGAATGGGTTGCGAGTTTTCATTGTGGAAACCTTCTTGATAAACATACTGGTTATGCGTGTTTATTGTGTGCGTGGAAATATGTAGAGGTGCTGGCGTCTCGAACTGTTGAGCCTCACCACGTACAAGCTATCATGTGTCAGTTCCGTAGATGAATAAACGAAAATTGGGTATATATATAGTATTCAGAGACAGCCGCATGGCGATGTGGGGTCTGTGTCCATGGATTTGTCGCATGGGGCCAAAGAGCAATGGCGGAGAGGCACAGGTGATGCTAGCGCGCGCAACCCAATCGCACATTGAAATGAAGAATTATTTAACTGAACTCCAGAAAGTGCATAGCTTATCAAATGGTACACATGGATTGTGAAATCGTAGCAAGAATAAAAAAAAGTCATATTAGTATCACAGACAGGCCAGCGAGTGCGAGGAAAGTTTGTAATTACAAAAAGAATGTTTACTCCACTATGGTACGCGGTCTTTATGCGTTGATGTTTGAGCGCAATCGCTACTCTCAAACTATAATAAATACTCATTAACTAAACTATGAGGAATCTTTATAAATATTCTAGAAAATCAGTGTATCATATAATAAAGCATGGTAAAAAACAGGTTACGTATGACATTTATATGACAGCACGAATCCACGTAGAACGCCCAGGAAACATAATAATGTAAGTGAATGGCTGTACAATAAGAAAAGTTATTGTAACAGCATGTACCGAATGGTTGCAACTTCTCAGTTTGCAAAGCCAGTTGACTAAAACCAATGCAGTTCCGTAACCCACACGCACTTGAAGCGTTTCAACTGTAAACACACGCCACCGCATCATTGCGCGCCACACTGACACATAAATATGATCCTGGTCTGTGCTGCTCGTTTTAGTACCGCGGTTTCGGTTTCAACAATAACAGCAGCCGGAATGAGATGAGGGACAATCGATTTTTCTCTCTTGTGCCAGCCACTGTACAGTCAGTGCTGAGAATATGTGTGAAATTGAACGAATTGCAGGGGTTTTTTTTTTTTTCTTCCTTTACACTGTCTTCCGGTTCGCCAGTTGACGGTTGGCAGGTTTTTTCAGCTCACGAACACCCCCGGGGTATAAGAGATGGCCCTGTGAAATTGCATCCAAGATGCGCTGGGCGGTTTGGCCGCCTATTAGGAGAAGATACATAAGATACAATAGATAGCATACGAACCAAAGATATATATTACATATACTATATATTAAACCATACCGGCAAACAGTTACCTAGGTGAGAGCGCCGGGGTGAATGTGTGATGCGTGTTGTATAGTACATGCGTACATGTTATGCACTCATAGCTATATATATGATATACTATATATATATATATATATATATAGCGCTATATATATAATAGCTATCTAATATATATTTTGAGTTCGTATGTATCTATCTATGTATGTTGTATCTATTATGTATGTATCTTCGCCTATATGGCGGCCAAAACCGCGCCAAGCCGATCTGGAATGCAATTTTCACAGGGCCATCTCTTATAACCCGGGGAGGGTTCGTAGCTGCAAAAAAACCTGCCAAACCTGTCAAACGCACCGAAAAATTCGGTGAAAAACCCTCACATTCGTGAATCTCACACAATGTCAAAAGCACTGACGCACAAGTGCTGCACACAGACGAAAATCGATCACTCATTGCCATCAGCTGCTGGTATTGTGAAACCGAAACCGAGCACCGGAGGCTGTTGAAATGAGAAGCACGCAAACCCATTCGTACATGCTAGTTACGTGACGCGTACGTGCATACGTGATGGTAACGTGGGGAGCTCAACAGTTCACGAGAACGCCATGAATCTATACATGATTTCACCAGAGAAAATAACACGAAAAACATTACCACGGTTTATCAACGAGTTCTTCAAATGAAAAAGTACCAACCATCTAACATCGCTGTTATAATAACTTTTGTCATTTACACACAGCCCATATTATATTATATGTTCCAGGGGTCTAAGTGGCGTTTGCCTGTCATATAAAGGTACAATACGTAACCAGTTTTTCCCCATGCTTCATTATCTTAGTACGACTGATTTCTAATATTGATATGTGTGCAATGTTATATGTGCGATTTTTAACCAATGTCCTATTGGTCCCATTATTAGTAAGTATGAATTCAGTAGCACAGCATTTCCTACCCAGCGCAGCGTACCCACCCGCAGCCTAGTATCTATATAATAAACCGGCCCATAGCACTCGGCGCCGGGCCCAACACGTACCCTGGTGAGAGCCTGAGGACGTCGTAAGCGCATGTACGTGAATGCACACGTGCTGTTATTGTATGCATTATAAGAACCGATACTCAGCCAACATACCAGGGTGAGAAGCCCAGTGAGGAACGTTGAGAACACAACGCAATGAAATGATATAGCCAGTATTTACGTTCATGCCACATGCCACAATTACACTGAAATAGCACGCACACATGCAACACGCACGACACAACACGAGAGACAGAACACGCACGTGCACACACGTGCACACACGGTGCACCACACAGACACCATGGCGCAACCAGGGCTGCAAAAAACGCACACACACACACACACACACACACACACACGTGCACGCTACACACCATGCACTCTCACACACACGTTGCAGCTCACACACACGTGCACGCATCACACACGTACGCCACGCGCGACACAAACGCATGCACACACACACAGTGCATGCTCACACACACCGCACGCACACACACGTGCACGCGCGCGCCACGACACACACCACACACACAACACACACACACACACACACACCACACACACACACACACACACATACAACAGGCACCTGCACACACACGTGCACGCTCACACACAACACTGCACGCTCACAACACACGCAGCGCACATACACACGCACGCACACACCACACGTGCACGCTCACACACCCACACACACACGCCACAGCGCACAGCACAGAAAGACAAACGATACTGCACCACACATAGTAACCACTACACACGTCACTAATTACATGCCACAATCTTTCCTCGCTAGCTCACGCTGCGCCGTGTCTTTCAACAAAGCCACTACCTAGATCACAGTGCGCGAGAAGGACCGTGAACAGAACTCAAGAACAGACACATGGACAATATTCCAGTGAACGCTGCCGTGGCCGCCCTCAGTCGCCGATACTTGTCGCTAACAGCTAGTTGTCATCGTTAATTCAAGATCCCATTTTTGAAGTAATTGTCAATGTTGTTTAACCGTATTTCGCTGTTATATCAATTTTATTTATTTAAATTAAATCGTCAATTGATATAATTCAAATGCAAGTTAAATTATAAATACGGATTAATTAAAAAAAAAAATCATTTATTGAACATGATAAAAACGACGTCCGTTTCTCATGCAGTTGAGTCGCGGGAGGGTAACATAACACCAAAAGCCGGACGGCAGAAGCAGGATCGGACGTACATCACACGCCTGCATTTCTTTCAGGTAATCAGCCACCGATCTCGCGTACGTACAAACACCGTTACAGAAGGGTCACTCGACGAAAACACAAACGCCGTCATGTCTGAGGTTGTAAACTGAATTATACGCAGATTTTCTTTAGCATAATTAGATAATCAAGTATAAGTAATTAGATATACATTAGCAACGCAGAGTACCACCTCCTAGCAGCGTCGCAATTTAATCGTCGATCCCGAACCGCTTCAGACGACAGCCACGCGCGAGGTAGGACTGTCACCAGGGGGCGCCGTCCGCGTCATGTATTTCTCTCTGTCAGGCGTGCGTCTCCCCAGGGGTTCTCGAGGGTTTGCAGGACTACAATCATCACGACAGCACCTCTGGTGGACACCCACGTGCAAGGACTTACTGCGCAGCATGACTATGCGACCCACAAGTTCGCCAGACAGGTGTACTGCTCACGGAGCTGCATCGCCCAGCCTCAAAGACAACAAGCTGCTCGCAACAATATGAAGCTCTCCTGCCTCCCCCTCCTCACCGCCTCATCCTCTTCAATCTCAATATTTCTCTCCTCTCTCTCTCACTCACTCATTATCTCGCTCTAGTCTCTCTCTCATCTCTCTCTCCTTTACTCCACCTCTGCATTCATGTCCATCGACTCTATATTCTCCCTCTCTCTCTCTCTTCGTCACTCACTCTCACTCACTTCTCCTCGCTCTTAATCATCCTCTCCTCACTCCCATTCTCCACTCAATCTCACCAGCCATTCTCTCGCTCACTCTCAACATTCATCTTCTTTCTATACTCCCTCTCACACCCATTCTCTCGCTCTCTCTCGTCTCTCGTCTTCCTCTCTCTCCTGCTTCTCTTATCTCTCTCCGCTCTCTCCCTCATCTCT